GAAAGCTGCGCGGACTACTGCAGAGCCAAGGAATATAATACGGATAAATCATTATTATCGGAAAACACGATACTAGCCAATTAAGTCATGCAGGTCGCAGTTAACTAATGAAGTTATAAATGGAGGCAGCACCAAAACCAAAATATTATTTTATACATATTATAAATCAAAGACAACGATGTCTATGGTTGGTATAATTATTTTAATAACGTATTAAATCCATAGTTAATAAAATAATAAATATAAAAATTAAATTAAATGTTATTAAATGGTTAATACTTGTAAATTAATATAGAAATAAATAAATGTAGGTAATAATACTCCAGGTAAAGCATTTATTTATTTATATATTAAATGTATAGGTTTTATAAAGAGCAACGTATATTTGATAAAAAATGCAAACAATAATTATTTACACCAGATCGTAGGTGATAAAAATATAAATAAAAATAAATCATTGCAAAATGAATTTCAGTTTACAACTCTGGACGATTCACATAAATGTTAAACTATATAAATACATACATTACACGTACAACTATACAATAAATGTTATACCATCGCGAATCCAGAATAATATATAAAAATATATGTATCTTAATAGATTTGTGAGCGAATTAAAGCATGTTACGTTTTATTATATACGTTTAGATACACTTGTACATCGTTAAAAAAGAAGAAACCCTTTGCTAAGACATTAAATCGGTGCTCGACGCATACGACAAAAATTAATTATACGCATATACGTTTAGCTACGATGGTGTACGTCTCGTCTTTCGTGACGTTTAATTTCGTCTCGGAGTAGAAAAGAAAAAATAAAAGAGCGATGAAGTGGAAAAAATTGATTGGCCACATAAGTGCTTAACCGAAGGAAAATATTAAACGACACATATTGGCACTTATATATCTATCTATCTATCTATATATATATAAATGTGTGTATGTGGGTATTACATGATGTGACGAGGATATAATATATATTTTACTGTGTAGGTGTGATGTCCGCGCACATTGAAGACGATTGGAGTCGTTTAGGATTTGTCGGTGATTACAAATGTTTCGTATTAAATATATATTAATATAGACTGATAAAAGTCTCTCCTCTTCGACTAATGGATAGTAGAAACCACTGTCACCAAATCATTATTCTACCTATAAGACGTGGGTGAATGTACACACACATGTATATAAATATATATAGATTGAGCGTCATCTACTGAAAAATAATATATTATACTTATTTTGACGATGCTTTAAAATAGTTAATATATGAAAATTAGATCTCTGAAAGTTAAAGTGCAAAAACATGGCTTTATTTTTCTGATCCATGCTCAATTTAACTGTTACTAGTAATAAATAAACATAATACCTGCGTATTGAATTAAATTATTGAACAATTTTAAATGTTCGCTACGTTGTCTCCAGTAAAGTATGACTATAGATCAATTAAATAAATATTCAAGGAGGGACGAGCTTTAATTTTATTTTATGAACAATTTAAAGGCTATACTTCGGTTAGTTTTGAAAAATTTCACAAATATTTGTCAAGACATTTAAGATTATAGTTTTGCAATATATCATAATATTAACTAGTGCAATCCAATTTTTATTGCGTTCTTGGTGTATGCAAATCAAATGTGTTCTGAATTAATCCCATCAGGTTGTGCGATCTCGCAAAAGGAGTTTTTAAATACGGTTTCGGAGTAACACAAGATAAAGGCCTAAAGCAAAAGTTGTAAAAGGTAGTTAAAAATGCATTATGAGCTCCACGCACAGGCTAGGATTAATTACAGCTGATCCGCTCTCGCTTAATCATGCACCAATGCGTTGATATCAAGAGTTTGACTCGTTTATATTTTCGCGTTGAAAATAATACTAGTAGCGGTATAGTACGATGTCTAATTACTCTACAGTATTATAGGTATATACATGTATAATATGATATTATATAGAGTTACGTGTATACACCGTTGTGAATGATTTTATTATTTATATACGGGAAACCACACGAGTATTTGAAAAAACAGCGAGTACCAATGATACGAAGTGAACATCGTACTTAAATAATATCTACAATTAAACCTAAATTTATACATTGCTATACTATGTACCGTTTGGGTGTCTATGCACGCATCATTTTGGACAACATTTTGGGCAGAATTCCTTTTGAAAAAAAAAGTTTGAGACAAGCATCCAAAGAAAGAGTGGAAGAAGAGAAAAAATGGAACAAAAAAGAATGAGAATATAAAAGAAAGGTAGAGGTGAAATAAGAAAAATCCGTCGCCGAAATTCTCTGTAATTACCCAGCGGTTGTCGTCCGCGTTCGTCAAGACGTTAGGCAGCGCCCCGGCCCTCGTCGCTCCTTTCGTCCCTCTCAACGTAGTCGTCATGAGGTGGGCCGGACGGGTCGAGAATTCGGGTAAGGGTAGAACGAGCAGCGCGCCACGGCAACGTCGGGAAATATTGATTGTCCCTCCCCCGAAGTTGCCGCTACCGGCACATGTAGAAAACTACCCCCGCGCGGACGACGCTGCCACCGCCGCAGGGCGAAATTTAATAATTCGTCAGAGCCCCTCAGGTTATATAGACGACAACAACGGTGGTGGATAAAGGACATACGACGAAGGAAGGAAGGGACACTGCGACGTATTTACGTACAATTGTCGCTTGTCCCGCACGCAGTTATTCTGTTATTTTTTTCTTTTTACGCGATAAATGTTTCATGGACAGCCCCCTTCGTCACCCCTCTCACCACAATCCAAGGCCGATTTACCAATGCTAAACGAATCATGCTGTGATGAGTTTATTTATTATTTACACACACACACACACACACACCTTACACTCCGCATCCACTACAACATTCTTCGCAAACAATAATTAATCCCGCGCGTTATTATATTATATACATTGTATTGGTATGAATGAAAACACATGAAAACCGTACATTTCGGACTGTTTATGACGAGCTTATCTTAACATATAATAAATATTTTTAATAAACGATGAGCATCGGAAAAAAAAAAAATATTATTCACGCCATCTCGCACTGACTATTGCATTTTTGGACGATCTTTATAACATATAATATCATTTATAACGGAACAAGATTTCGGTTATCGGTAATCAGTATATTGTTACACTAATATAACACAATCTGAGATTAAATCGATGAACCGTATTTGGTATTCGGCCAACATCATAGCATTAGGACGGATTAAATGACATATTTTCTCGTTTATGACGCTTGGTACACCGCTGTTATACGGTCAGTTTAAGTAATCCGTACGCACAGTTATTATTATTAATCTTAGAGATTTGATACGATTATTTATCCAGAGGTATGAAAGGTCCTCTCGAGTACAGTTAAAACTCAGGGGCTATACGTCCAGGGAATTCTCGATCTCCACGGCATTCGCTTGGTAACAGAAATAAAAAGAAGTACTGCTGCAGAGGTATACACGGAGAACTTGCATTCAAAAGTTGATTGCTCGTGCAATAAGTGTTATTGTTCCATACAAATAAACGAAAGAAAGAAAATGAAAAAAAGAAATAATAATAATGAAAAAACGTCATCCCCTCACTTAGAGAACGTCTGCGTATATGAAGTGCTCGGAAATTCTTACGGCGATAACTACGTGGCCTTTCGTTATAAAGCGAGTGACGGCTATTGTCCGTGTGTGTGTGTCCGTGTGTGAGTGTGTAGTGTACGGAGGGACGTGATCCCATAGGTAATCAAAAGGATTACGGAAAATCACGTTCAAAAATAAAATCAAATGAAAAATATCATGAAATTAGGATTGTCGTTGACCACACGCGGCGTGTGCGTGCGCGATCGTGTATCGTTCCACTTAAAATTTCGAATTCGAAAGCACGCGGACTATTACGTTCGTATACGTCTTACGACAGGACTGCACCGAATGCGTAGACATCGTTAGACAAATCACCCGGCTAGGTTAAGAAAAACCTGCACGGTCACAACTGCCTAATTGTGTTCGGAACAACGTAAATGCACAGGTACGGCGGAACTCTGCGCTGTCGTTCACATGTAGTAACTTGGAGCACGTGATTTTTCCTTTACAATTGTCGTTTGTCCTTCTTTTGTTCGGTCGACGGTGGGGAAGAGCAGAAACGAGAAACGCTGTTCATTATATGCACGCGCACACGTACTTATCGACGACCAACCGGTTCTTTCTTTTCGCTGCATCGGTCAACCGACTTACTTCGGACATTTTTTATAGTGCAGCGTTTCGTACGCCGACGCGAATCCAAGTGCGTAATATACACGCGCGTGATACGCGACTAAAAATAATGTTTAAGCGCGGTAACTCATTGTTTTCGATCGGACAAATCTTCTCCGAAATGGGGTTTTTTCCTTTCTGCACTTCCGCGGTTCGTTTGCCGCACGCCGCGGCTTCAGAAAAAAAAAAAATGTACACAATCGTATAACCCTCGACCGTTATTTCTTTCCATTACGACGGATTAATGTAATGAACACCGGCGGCGCCGGTCGGACAATGATTATTACCATCGGCGTAGGTTTCGCCGATTAGACCATATCCATATTATTATATTATAATTGCGTTACGAGGGTCGTCGTCGTGTCTCCGCGGACCGTTTCGGTCGGTACAGGTTGGCACAGGCGGAGCGGAGTTAAAAAATAATAACAAACAAATAGTTTACAGCGCCGACGATGATGAGAATGAATAACCCACCCACACAAAACGAAATCCTAATGGTTTCCGGTCACGTTTACCGAACGTTCGTGAATAATGTTATTTTTACGGCAGGTAATCGGTGCGATCCAGCGGTACAGGTTAGGTGTACCGGATAATAATAATATAATAATATAGGTGGTAACAGTCCCATAGACGCATAGGTAAAACCGGACTCGGCGACATCAATGACGATCCAAATGGAAATCATATCGGGCGGTCCGACATCGTACGTCGTAGACGTGTGTTTCAGAGCTGCAGTGCGATATCGAAACGGTGCACTTACCTTGAGCGTTAGGGCGTACAGGGGCGCGACAAACAGGGCTGCGCACAGGACGACGGCCCGCATCGTTGCTGCGTGGGTGTCGGCTGCTGCTGCTGTTCGGCTGCGGACGGTGGTGCGTTCGGCGGGTGTGTGCGAGACCGCAAGTCTAATCTACGGCGAGAACGGCGAGCTTCGCCGCTGGTCAACGGAACGGTGGAGAAAACGGATAAGATGTGTACGGGCGGGGAAAAAAAATAACCAAACCAAAACGACCCAACGGATGCGAAACGCGACGTAAACCGTGCGGCGCGAAACGTTGACTCGAAAACGCGAAAGACGAACTCGTTGGGAAGTGAAAAAAAAAAATTGTAACCACTGCGAGCAAATGGTACGCGAAACGGTCGTCCGGATACAACTACCGCGACGAGGTCTACCCGGTGAGTGGTATCGTTGGCGGCGGCGGCGGAGGTGATCGCGATCGTCGTTCGTCGCGCGCGTTCGTGTCTCTGCGTGTGCGCGCGCGGCGTCTGCGGCGGCGGTGAGGTGCACGGCGTGAGGTGATGTGTATTGTAACCCGCGGACGGGCGGGTAAATGGTGCGGGGCGGTAAGGAACGGCCGATGTGTCGTCCGCTCGTCGTAGGAATGTCGTGTGCGACGACGTACGGCCCAGGACGAGTAGCGGCGGCGGGTCTCGTGTGCGCAGTTCCCTACTCCCCCGGTCCGACGCCGTGCCACGGGTAGCGCGCGCGCGTCCGTACCGCCATCTAGCCGCCGCTCGACGACGCCCGACGGTCGGACAGAGCGGGCCGCCGCAGGACGTGATGTCGGCAACGATAACCGTCGGGTTTCTTTCTTTTTTTTTCTTTCCACGCCACCCCCAACCACCACAGATTCTTTTTACGACCGTTTCTTCACCGCCTTTATTTTACTTGTTTCGCCATCGTTCCCCCCTCCCCGGCACCTTACCCCGACCACGACGCGAACCACCCTCTCACACGCGTACTGTTGTACACTAACCGACCGGGTTCGTCACCACCACCTGCCCCGCGCGCGATCGATGTCCCCCGTCGGAATTCTTCTCGATTAATGCTCACCCCAGTAGCTGTGCAATAGCGGTCGTACAGTGGATTGTCGGAGATCACGTCGTGTCGGCGGATCGTTCAGTGCTGCCGCTTGAGCGCGTTTTTTAACTCGACTCACGGTCGCGGTGGAGAAGAGGGTTTTTTTTCCACCCGGTCAGAACCGATATAGGCTTAAGTGCGTTTAAGTCGAACAACACAATAACAACGAGTAGCTAATGTCAGTGTAAAGTACACGAAGACGTGTGTTTTTCACTCTACGTAACGTCGTCTTGTATTTTACGCGCCAAATCATATATACCCACCATTTAGTCATTTGGGATGGTTTCACGACATCGAAAAAAAGGTTTTAACGAGCGTATTATATTATTATCGGCGTTAAACTGTTGATTGGGTACGCGTCGTCACTAAGAAACGTTATGCTATGAACGGTACGCTTCTTTTTCATAAAGAAGAATACATACATACATATATATATATATATATATATATACTATTGTTCATAACCGTTACACTATACGACTAATGTGGATTTATTTAAATATTGATATTTTGGTTAGTGCACTGTTATATTATTACCAATTGTCTTGACGAGGTTTCTTTAAGGGGTGCACAATTCTGAATAGTGCGAATGTTACCTTGTCCTACGAAGGATGTTTTTCGGAAGATTTTTTCCGGAGCAACAATCAACAAAGTAAGAACATTTTACTGATCAAGAGCAGGTCCGGCTTAAGGGGTAGGTGACATAGGCCCACGCCTAGTACGGCATTTTTCCTGGACAATTTTTATGTATAAAAAAAAATATTTGATAAAATACGTAATTTACACGTAAGGGGAGGCAAAAACTAAATGTTGCCTATGTTTGTTTAAACACTTGAGTCTGGCCTGATTCAAGAACGGATGGTTTAAATTAAAGTAAAAGACTTCAGCAAGCATTCATTTGAAAACCAACTAGTTCGATCGTTCATAAGTCAATACATCAGCTAAAAACTGATTAATTCTCTACTATGCCCATCATTCAACGCATCTGTTATACATTCTATTTTTCTTTATTAATTTAATAAATGTTTTGAATAACACGTAATGCTTTATTATTTATGTAAATTATTGTTATTATACTGGTCAAGTTACTACTATTGTATGAATATATGCGAATATAATGTTTAATAGCATATTATGCTGTACGCATAATATTATGCACTCGGATTTCATCCAAAGTTTATCAAATCTCTGAATGTACCCATACCAACATATTAATATTAAATAGATTCTGGCCATGGTGTTGTATATTTTTCAAGCGTACGCCAGTCGAACGTAACTTTTATAAAATGTTACTAACATTATGTAGTATTATTTAAGTGAGTTGTGTGACAGATTTAATGCGAATAAACGCCGAGTATACGAAATATTATAGTCATTTATAATATTCCTCGCCGTTATAATAGCATTATCCACGAATTCCTCAGAGGTAATTTAAACAACGGCGTACCTAGTGTATATCATAACATCATTGTACGAATATTTAAACATTTTCTTTAAAATTCGTTCTCGTTCTCGACAGTTAATTTGCTTCAGAAAAATATACCGAAGAGAAGGAGATATAATTTATATTAATACGTACATGCTGGTAATGCACACACACTAATTCAGTGCTTTTGAAATTCAGCACTACGGTCAATAATTTATAGACAATTAAATATCAAAGGTGGGAATTAAGTAATTAAAAAGTTTAAAATCTTTTTAAACTTTTTTACTTGACTTGTTAGTTAATTTTCTAATTGATTAAAATATTTTACAAGTTTAGTTGGCCGTTGAAATAACTTGACTTTTTTCAGTTTATTTTAAAATAAACCATGAAATCAAAACTTAATATTCCAGGTAACCCCAGAGTGCCTAAAACGATCGTCATAGGTGGTATGACCTTTTAGATTAATAAATAATAATTGACCACTGTATAAAGTTTAACCAATGAATGGCTACTTTAGTGCCATATTTCTACATCACTGTATTACTCCTCTTAATACATGCTTATTATAAAAAAAAAAAAATAAAAAAAATTACAAATTGTATATACTTAGACACGATGCTCACTAAATTAACGTAGCATCTGACATAACACGTAGAATGTCATATTATCTGCCAAGTTGTAAACTGTAATAGCACTCATTGATTCGACGTGACATGTTTTTTAGTAGCCGAAATGTCTTTATGATTTGGATTTTCTTAATTTTATAAATTTTGGTAATAAAAATCACGGTAAACAAAAGTACAAGTGAGTGCATCCATTTTGAAAAAAAAAAAAAATGGTGAAATACGTGGCACATTTTCATTTTTCAGTGAACTGTCCGATGAATGACATTTTTAATCATTTTATAGAATGAAAATTAAAATGTTTTATAAGTTAATGTATAAAATGTCCAAATATAATAAAGAAATTAGCCCAGAAGAACGACTGTTGTTAAAACGTCGGTTAGTAAATATTTATAAGAAAAAAAATACTTAATAATTTTTATTATAATAAATATAATAAAATATAATAAAATTATTCTTAAATGAAGGATAACATATTACTTAGAACATAACTTAAAAAAAAAACTTTGCATATAACAAATTTAATATTTAAAAATATATATATATATATATATATATATATATTAAAGAAACTCTTTTTGATGAATAAAAAAAAATTAAATTCAAATAGATAAAATTATTAATATTATTATAATTCAAATCATTATAAATGGGTGATTAGAAACATAAATACCTGAAAGTACTTGTCTATATCGTGTAACAAAAAGCTAATTACTAAATAAACTCAATAGAAAAAAATTAAAAACTAACTAAAAATAGTGACTATTTGAAAAATTGTTAAAAAAATCAAATTTTCAAATTTTTAATATTTTTGACATTGCATAACATTGTATTTCGCGTGCCATGAATTGTTAAAAATAAGTGCATGCAATACTTTTTCGTATCAAAAGTAGAAAGGTGACAAATGTTATATATGATATGTTCAGTGAGCGGACATGAATTTGTTTCAGTTTTATCACACATCGCATGCATCTTGCCAAGTCACTTGTCACGTCAGATTTCACGTTACTTTAGTGAATATTATACCTAAGAAAGAAAGTTAAAAAATAATTGAAAATGGAAACTTTTTGAAATAATCTTATAGTATAATAAAACGAAATTTTCGGTTATTTTTCTTGATAAAATATTACTAAATAAAATAATATTAAATAGTTTTATAGTAAATTATTGATGAAAAAAGGTCATTGACTAGATTCTAGGTAGTGTAAGTATATTCTAAAAATAGCTTTAAAAGTGCAGGATTGCACTTTAATATAAAAAAAATAAGGACAAATAGATACGAATTTTGAAAGAACCTTAAGGTTAGGTTAATAGCTTCAGTGGCGTATTTACGAGGGGGGGGGTCCAGGGGTACTGGACCTCCCCAGAACCTCTCCAAAAAATAAAAAATAAACTAAAATTCTTACATATTTACAGAATTGGCTATGTTAAACATTCACAGGGAAGTTGAAATTACTGTTGATGAAATGATAGAGAAGTTGGCCAAAAAATCGAGACAACTAGAATTTATTTTATAACAATACTTTATAATATATAATGTTAAATACAATATATAGGTATATATATAGTATTACATAAGACTATACAATTATTACATTGTATATTTAGTTTAACTTCCTCCAAAAACTGCATAAGGATGTAACTATTACAATATAATATATAGTTTATATTAGTTATGTATTAACTGTGGACCCCCCACCAGAAAAAATTGAAAATACGCAACTGCATAGCTTAAATAGATTAAATAACTTTAGGTTAACTTAAGCAATAACTTTAATTATTGCTTAAATATAATTAATATAACAATATTAAAAAATAAGAAACGTAAAAAAAAACAAATTTATGTTTGAAGGTAATGTTTTTGTTCTATATAAGTACCTATTTAATTATTAAGGACGCTTGTAAATAATACGCATTGCAACTACTAATTTTTTTATTACAAATTTTATTATTTTAATACTGTATTACCTAAACTATATATTTGATATAAAAAATGAAATTATTTCATTATATCAATAAATGTCAATTATTAAGTGAGATAATTATAATTTAAGTACTTAATAATCGTACAAATTAAAATAGGCAAATAGGTAAAATACCTACTATACATTATATTAAATTTTCAATAAAATTATTTATTTCAATTTAAGAAATTAGAAAACATACAATTGCTCTTTAAGTGTTTCACACACTAATTAAAAAATTAGACTAGTTTTTTTTTACATTGAGTTAAGTGCGTTTTTCCATATTAAATTTAAACCTGGTGAGTTAAATTTATGACTTATTAACTTAATTTGAGTTCATTACTTTCATTAATTTGACCACCTTTAATTATTCTAATGGTTTAATAGTGTATACCTAATGTGACATTACTTCATTATGTTGTTCGCTTAATGAGCTTAATATGGTATGTGCAGTGGACGTATACCGATTATATAATGAACAAATTGTTGAATACATGTCGTTAATGTGTTTTGATATGATATG